TGTATTTGAAGCCCCTAATCCATGGGATTAAATGTAAACCAAGCTATATAAAGAGTATTTAAATGCTATTTTTCAATACCGATTCTTTAAAAATAACAAACAGCCTCATCGCTATCGAATTGTAATTCGTACTTACAATTTATTTGATATCGTGTTTAAAATTTGTGCTTTTAAAATTATGATTCCCGTGTTCAAATTTTAAACAGCAGTTTTGATTTATCTAATATACATTAGAATAAAGGAAAAATGTAGATCTATTGGCCCATAAGAAGCATCTATTTATATCCACCCATACGCATTCACATATATATATTATATTTAACATTTAACTTGTACTTGAAACAATCTAAGGATCCCATATAAGTGTAGTTAACTGTGGCTACGAAGATATCTTTTCAGATAGCCTCATAGTGGGTACTCCGGACATAAAATTAGCAGACAGATCTATTGTATATTACCCTCTAATGTGTTCTATAATGCTTCCTACATGCTTGTCCTGAATGCTGGTCGTTCAGTACGTGTAGAGGCTGCCTAAGTAGATTGCTTCTCTACTCTCACACGCATATTATGTAAAGCCATTATGCTAGAGCAAATAAAGTAAATATTATTTATTGGTTTTTATTATCCTACTTGTTGCTCTAAGTCAGCAGCAACTCTTGACGGATTAAAAGGATGTTTGTGTAATGACTATACACAAGGGGGAATTTGGATTAATAAAGTTGCTTAAGAGAGAGAGAGCCTCGCTTGGCTCCCAAAGCCTAATACTACCACACCTCTCGTAGGCCTTGTGGTATGTTGAGAACACTACGGGCTCGCCATACCCCGTGCTACTTGGAACTTTTTGTTCCAGGTAGCGAATCTACAACAATAACGTTGAGAATATCAATGGAACAGGCATATTAATTACAAATTAATGCTAATCAGGCACCAGGAGCCAGATATAGCTATAATTATCAGGATATATTACCAAGATACAATTCATTTACAGCCCCGCTCCTGTGCCAGGTAAGTCCACTACGGGCTCACCATAGCCCGTGCTACTTGCCCTGCTCCTGTGCCAGGTAAGTCCACTACGGGCTCACCATAGCCCGTGCTACTTGCACCGCTCCTGTGCCAGGTAAGTCCACTACGGGCTCACCATAGCCCGGGCTACTTGCCCCGCTCCTGGGCCAGGTAAGTCCACTACGGGCTCACCATAGCCCGGGCTACTTGCCCCGCTCCTGTGTCAGGTAAGTCCACTACGGGCTCACCATAGCCCGTGCTACTTGCACCGCTCCTGTGCCAGGTAAGTCCACTACGGGCTCACCATAGCCCGTGCTACTTGCCCCGCTCCTGTGCCAGGTAAGTCCACTACGGGCTCACCATAGCCCGTGCTACTTGCACCGCTCCTGTGCCAGGTAAGTCCACTACGGGCTCACCATAGCCCGTGCTACTTGGAACATTTTGTTCCAAGTAGCTGAATCTAAAACAACAACATATCAAGATCTGTGAAGGAAAAGTTCTCAGGAATGACAAATACTAAACAGAACATCTTATCACTCCCAAAAGCCTAACCATAATTAGTAAAAATCAGTTTAAATTAAATTAAATTTAAAAACCACACAGAACGAGGGGCAGTGCTTGAAGAATTGTTACATACAATGAATGTTAAATGAAGCTAATAGAACGCAAAGCGTTTATGGTAAAAGTTATTTCTTAGTGACTACTATACTACAAATTAATGGTAATCTTCGGCAGTATAACACTAACAGCGGAACCACCGTAACAGATTCAGATTCAGGTAAGGTATATACATACAAGTGATGTTACATTAATGGATTGATATATAGATAGAGCTAGTACATACAATGCCTAAAGCCACTATTACGCAATGCGTTTCGGGCAACAAACCTTAAAACCAAAACCTTAAAACAATACCATCCATCTTATTGTCAAATATAAGAAACGACTATAACCCTTCTTAATAAACTACCAACAACAGAGCTAACAAGGTAAACACGAAAGCACTAACGAACGTGTACACCTTTCCTCAATCTTTTAACACCTTTGGTTACATTTATTTAACAGTTTACAAGCATGAAAACTTGCCAATCAACTGTTGTTATTGTTATAAACAGCCTCCTGGTGCTTCGGAGCTCATTAAGTGTTTAATAATTGTAAACAAAGCCGCCAAAGATTGAGAAAAGATGGACTAGACAGGTCAAGAGGAGCAGCACTCACCACCGTCCGCCTCCTCCGACGGGAGGTTGTCGACTGAATGTAAACAAGACACCGCCTTCCCTCATCGCCTCTCTTAAGACGGTTGAGATAGAAAGAAAACGGGTGACAGATCTCCATCTTGAAAGGGATACGAGGACAAAGCTAATAACTAATAGCAAAGCTAGTAATTTGGTTATGAACCGAGTTATAAGGACAAGGGTGGAAGGAACGGTATCCAGCCACTTGGACCATCGGGGATCGAACGTCGACTCTGCAAGATACAAGGAAGTCGATGTACTGACCAATCTAAGTGGATAGACAGATTTAGAGAAATATATTCATGATACATATAAACGGGGATATATATATATATATATATATATATATATATATATATATATATATATATATATATATATATATATATATATATTATATATATATATATATATCCATCCACACCCTTACGGTTAAGGAAACAACATATGCCATACAAAATATTAACTTTATTTACTAAGAATTCTTAAATAACAAGACATAATATTTACAATCTTGACTCCAACCAATAAATTTCTTTACATTAAAAACTAATCAGTAAATAGCCAATGTCTTGTTGGGGGACGTAGAAGGAAGCTTTTAACATGGTACAAATACCTTTAGCCTGAGCAGTTACGCAAGCACTTACGAACCTGTCCATCTTTTCTCAATATTTGGCGGCTTTGTTTACAATTATTAAACAGTTAATGAGCTCCGAAGCACCAGGAGGCTGTTTATAACAATAACAACAGTTGATTGGCAAGTTTTCATGCTTGTAAACTGTTTAATAAATGTAAACAAAGCCGTCAAAGATTGAGGAAAGATGTACACGTTCGTAAATACTTGCGTAACTCCTTCGTGAATCTGGCCCCAAGTGTACTTAAGCTTTGTGGGTACATCACCACGACTGACTTAAGTACCAATAGAGCACTTAAGTTCACCACCAAAAGCACATGAGAATGTTCCACTGAACTATCGATGGTGCTAAAGAGAAGTGACACTATACCACAGTATACCAATGATACTATATCACAATGTGCTATAACATATTTCTAATATAACACAACATAGATGTTTCGCCCAAGCTGAGGAGAACGTGACATTCAAAATTATTGACCCAGCATACTATTAATATGTGACCATAACACATTGACCCAGCATACTAAAGAGATACAACACATGCTAAGATACACATTTAATAAACATGTTATCATCCCTTATAGACATTGGCTATCTTATGTCATGAAAAAATATATATTTACATTCCAGATCTCAACATTTCAGAACAATCTTATATTGATAGCGATTGGTTATCCAATACACATTAGGCTGATATATAAACATTATATATGTTCATATAAACATGTTTATATATTATATATACTATATTATTTGTGTTAAAATACGTTTAAGGTACTTAGAAGCAATATTTGGGCAACCTTATTTACAATGGGCTAATAATGGATGGTTCTTTTAAAATTATTAGGCTACGTATGATGTCTTGACGCTGTATTTCCAGTCTGATTGGCTTTAAGAACCTACGACATGTCGTAGACCCTATACGCCATGTCGTAGACCCTATACGCCATGTCGTAGACCCTATACGCCATGTCGTAGACCCTATACGCCATGTCGTAGACCCTATACGCCATGTCGTAGACCCTATACGCCATGTCGTAGAACTTACATCCTGGGTCGAGTCCTTCCGACAGTTCGTAAGCAAAACACTCCGTCTACCTCTGTTGCAACATAAATGATTATAATAAATAAATACAATTAGGCATAAGTTAACATTGCAGCTGTAGACGAGAACCTGTAACCCAGAAGTTTACCAGCAATTAACAAGTAGTTTACCGTGTATGATATCACGATAATCTCAACTTCTTATGGCGTTATCTTCTTTAACTATCAATTAATTCCTTTGAATCTTTTCAGATAAATTATTCTACTACTGATCAGTATTACGAGTTAAAATAAAACGGCTGATTTGAAGACAGAAATACGCATTCCATTATAGTCCATAATATATATACTTTCCCCCTCTACGGCATAAACTCTTGTCTATCTATAATTAAAGCTTGTTCCTAATTATACGCCTAAACATCAACGCAAAATATAATCCCATTTCAGGTAATGTTTCTGTGGTGGCGATCAATCCAAGCCTTGCCCACCACCTCCACCTCCACCTCACCTCCTATTTAATTAAGTTATCCCACAATAAATAATGCAAAGAGTTTAAGTGTTTTATATCTTGGGCAAATTAACAGATCTAATGTGAAAAAAAAAAATCCAGATTTGAATGTGGTGAAAAGCCTACCTGAAGGGTCCCTTTCAGTGGCTTCTATTCCATGGAATCACCTGTTCCAGGGAGCCACCTGTTCCATGAAGCCACCTGTTCCATGGAACTACCGCCCACAAAATGCCTAGAGAAGCAACAATGGCGGATCTGCATACCAAAAAATTCACAAATGACTGTCTAACTTAGTTAAATAAGCAATCATCCACCTCCAGTACTTAACGTATTAGCAAATCATAATAGCAGCCGCGAAATAATATTACCGTTAATGACCTATTATAGTCAAGTCTAAAATATGTCCCTAAATTCTACTTGTAAAAGTTACCATAACCCGTCACTAAGGTCAGAATCAAGGCACTTATTGTTGTAGGAAAGTCCGAGCTAATATAAATATATTATAAAGTTCTAACACTGATATTATATAAAAATAATCCCTTTTATTCAAGTTTCGAGATGCATAGCCTCGTAATATTCAAGTTACGAGATGCATAGCCTCGTAATATTCAAGTTAGGAGATGCATAGCCTCGTAATATTCAAGTTACGAGATCCAAAACCTCATAATATTCAAGTTACGAGATGCACCTAGGCAATATTTAATGTTTTAAGAGACTTTGCCGTCAGTACTAGACCAACATGTTCGCTTATATAAATATTAAAATATGAATGATTAGAGGGCTGATTTTTTTATTTACCCTATGTAGCGTAAGTAGAATATAAATAATGATAGACAGACAAATAATGTATGCGTGTGCGTGTGTGTGTGTGTGTGTGTGTGAGAGAAAATGTAAAATGTTTTACATTATGTATAAAATAACTCGAGCCAGAATACCTTCAGGACTCTACACGTGATTCTGTATACATGTATACCTGCACCGTAGGCATACATGTGTATACCATGTACCGCAGGAATACAGTGTAGGAAGGTATACATGGGTACCACCCAGCACGGGTATTCATATAGGAGGGTTTGTAGCATAACCCGTCAGAGGTCTGGTGCCTACATTAAGACCCTGGTTTATGAGACTTCCTCCTAATGCCTTAAGTGGCACTTTCCAAATGGCACCAAACCAAATATGTCAACATAGTGCCACAAACGTGCTCGGCCAGGATGAGGTCACAGGAATATTTGCATGAAAGATGATGCAAAAAAAAAAGAGGATTCTGGGCCAGGATTTATCAAGCATTTATGAATCCATTTATGAAACCTGTACATCTTTCCTCTATTCTGGATGTCTTTGTTGACTTGAATGAAACAGTTTATGAGCTCCGAAGGCCCAAAAGGTTGTTTCTAACAACAATAACCTTGGGTTATGAAGTTTCAAAACCCATAAACTGTTTAATAAATATAAATAATGCTGCCATGATTAAGGAAAGATGCACAGGTTTCAAAGTAAACACACAAATGCTCTATAAAACCTGGTCCTTGTTACTGTGTGAAATATTTTTCTCCTTGTGCTGTTTCCTTCAAAGAGGACCATTTTGTTGCATTTCCTAGCAACTGTACATTTTGGAACTATCTTTACACACACATTAACCATCCTGGCACAAAGATTCGCTGCGTTTTTAACAACTCGGTCCTCAGTACAACTTTTATCTTTTCTGCTGTCTTGTTAACCCCTAAATTGCGCCAATCGTAAATGTGCGATTTCCTCCTTTGCTCCAATCATATACAATTGATCCTTACAGGTTATCAAACCATTTTTTTTTTCACTGCGCACCTAGATGTAGAACTTTTAAATATCTTAGCAACCTAAGGGTTAATTATTAACTGTTTTCTGTCGATCACATTTTTTTCCGAAACCAAATTTCACTTAACATTTGCACACACGACGTCTTCGAGTATTTTAGACGTACGAGTACATATTATTACGTTGTTCTATGATACCCCATCTTCCCCTCTCTTCCCAACAATCCCGCCCTTCGTCGCCTCCGTCAGCCTGTTCAGCCCAGCACTAATTCCTCGGCAGTGTTGGGGGCGTCCATGAGCTTCAGCAGCCCGAAGAAAGTATTTTCGTGGCGTCTGACGGGCGTCGTGTACTGCTCAACATCTTTAATGTAGACGGCCGCGTTCTGTGTGGGGAAAAATGACCGATTTAGTTTATACATATATGAACAAAATATATTGACCAGACCACACACTAGAAGTTGAAGGGACGACGACGTTTCAGTCTGTCCTGGACCATTCTCCTGGACTTGAGAATGGTCCAGGACGGACCGAAACGTCGTCGTCCCTTCAACTTCTAGTGTGTGGTCTGGTCAACATACTTCAGCCACGTTATTGTGACTCATCGCAAACAAAATATATTCTAGCATCATATAAGATGACTGCCAAATTGTGAAATAGTATTAAGAAGCTGAACTGTATAAGGTGATATATTTAAACATACCCTTTATAAAAAAATTATAAATTATAATTACTAATTTTTATATTATTTGGTGGTTAATAATTGCTAACCGTGGCTTGTATCAGCTGACACTTGCTCGTGACTAATAACGTTCCTCAAGACTTATTGTAACTGCTATATCTTGTTACACTGATTACCTTAGAATATTCTGTACAAACAATCAGTTACTGTCTACTGTTTTTAATATATTGACAAGACCATGACTACTGCTCTTAATATATTGGCAAGACAATTTATGGCTACTGCTCTTAACATATTGACAAGACTTTAGGTGGAGATATAAGGGGTAAATCTTAGTAAGCACTAATGGATATGTAAAAGGGTTAACTTTAATCGGGAACACTCACCAGGGGAAGTAGGTAAATAGGTGGGTGGGGTGGGTAAATTCACTATAGGAGAGATAAGTGGGTGAGTAGACTCGCTTTATGGGGGGATAGGTCAGCAAGTCGACTCACCGCAGAGTAGCAGGTGGGTAGGTAGAGTCATAATTGGGAGATGGGGTGAGATAGGTAGGAGGGCCATTTCCGATTTACCTGAGATATGTAGGAGGGCGATTTCCGATT